CATGTGGGAATGCAGCAGCTCAGGCTCAGAGGGAGCCAAAGGCCAGACTATATGTGGATCAAGAACTACATCTGGGACTGCAGCTGGAAATTCAAGATAATCCTGTGCTGATGGACCCTGCTGTCTGTAGGAAACCGGTGGTGTGCTGTGCATGGTATTCTTGAGCTCAAGTCATTTTCAAGCGTAGCCCTGTGATGAGCTAATGAACCATGAGGTCATGCTGGTGAGGACCATATTCAGAGCGAAAACAGAAGAAAGAACTTCTGATGACTGACCCACGTCGACCAGTTTGTGATGCTGTAGCACCTGCCCAATTCAGCGTAGGAGCTAGAATGGACCTTTCTTAACTACAGCTGCTGAGTGAAGGTGTATTTGTCAGGCAGCATTTCTGTGATATGATGAAATGCTCCACAGTGTTTATGCATTCGTTTCTGCTGCTCATCGAAGTGAAATTTGACTGAACCTTCTCAGTAGACTCTCTTTTTACATAATGTTACCAAAACAATCACCTTCCTCTTGGAAATACAAGGTATTAATAAATAGAAAGAGCCAGGAAGCTACCTTGACCAGCTCCATCATGTCTTTGACAAACCCATCCACTTCTGGGCCTTCAAGTGCTCCCGTTTTACTCTGAAAGATGGAATAAACATCAAAATGTTCCAGTAAGTTGAAAACACAACAGTGTTTACTGGTCAGTAGGTCCACCCAGTCCCTGAGCTTTACAGCATAAAGGTCACAGAACCATAGAGTGGTTTGGATTGGAAGGGACCTTAAAGATCACCTAGTGCCACCCCCTTGCCATGGGCAGGGAAACCTTCCACTAGATCAGGTTGCTCAAAGCCTCGTTCAGCTTGGCCTTGAACACTTCCAGGGAGAGGGTGTCCACAACTTCCCTGGGCAACCTGTTCCAGTGTCTCAGCATCCTCACCACGAAGAATCACTTCCTAATAGCTAATATCTAGTATCTAAGATCCCTTCATTTTTCCCAAACCATCTCTTCCCCTCAAACAGGAGAAACATCTCCCGCCATTTTGTGAGGCTTGCTGGCCACCGCCCTGAGGGAGTTGTGTGACTGTCAGAAAGCGGCACTGAATTGCTGGTTTCTAACAGGCAGTTAGGTAGTCATGTCTGTCCTGGGCCAGACTCCCTAAATAACCCTTGGTTCAGTGCTGGAAGGGGGTTTATTTTTGAAGGTGGTGGTGATTCAGGTCCCAAAGTGCCAGAGACTGCAAGAGCTAAAGCCACCATCTCTGCTAACATCCCTTGCATCTCCTGCAAGGAGATGCTGCGAATGCAGCAGCGCTGGCCATGGAGAAAGTCAAAACGGGTCCTTTGCCATGAGATCTCTGAGCATTGCTCCCCTCTGTCCCCACCTTACCCCCCAGCCTGGCTCCTGGGCGCCTCTGGCCCATGGGCTGGGGCATAGCTGCAGCTCCCAAGTGACCCCCGCAGCACCCACGGGAGGAAGAAGTCTGAGCAGAATATGTCAAATCTATGTCATTCAAGGGGACCCCCCGCACGGGAATGGCCTCTGGAACTCACAACGTCATAGTGTGCAAAGATCTTCTCAAAATCTCTCCTCCTTTCTTCTGTGCTGCAAGCCTATATGTAGAGAGGACAAGCAAATGAAAAAGAAAAAAAGCAAGAAGATTCAAGTTTGAGCCCAGGCTATCTTAGCTGAGGGAGATGGGACTGATGCATCAAAAAAAAGTGCTACTTACATCCATCTTAAATTGAAGAAGGAAATTTTCCTGGAGCGCCAGAATCCTGAATGGAGAGATTTAAATTACGATCGTTCCACTTTCTCATCTGCACACAAACTATTCCGAACTCCTCTAGTTCATAAAGCAGAGAGATTTTATATTATAGGCCTTTGAAAGAGAAAATCACCTGCAGGGTTATTTACGGAGGGCTGTTTCACCAACACATGCCTCCCTCCCTCTCTGACGGGGCATGACAGGCACCCTTTGGCTCACTGCAAATGTGTTTCTTAGCACCACTGCTTCTCCTGGAGCATTTCTGGTTGTCCAGTGAAATGGAGGTGGCCAGCCTCCAAACTGAGAGCTACCAGACAATCGTTCCTCCTAACCAGATTGCTGTGCTGCATTAAAGGAAGGGAATTCATTGCTCTCTGTTGGAGGGAGAATTGGTGGTTGTAAAAGACGAAGTAATACTGGCCTGAGCTCCAGGACTGGCCAAATTCCTCCTTTCCCCTGCTCCCCCCCACAAGGCCCCCCAGTACTGATAAAAGCTTTTCTCTCTCCAGCCGCTCTGCCAACCTGGGGTTTTTTAGAGCCCATGACACCAGGTGTGCTGAGCTGTGCCTGCACACTGAGGGGTTTGGGGGGTGAGAAATGGGCTCAGCCCAGAGGGGAGCCTCGGCTGGCACGGGGCAAGGGGGCAGTAGGGGAGCTGTATTTAAGAGGAAAATGCAACGGCAACTCCCTTTAGATATTCTCCATTCTGCCTCCGTTCCTCTTCATATATTCAGTGTTCAAAGCGAACTCCCACATGCACTGCAGGTATCTGTGCTGGCATTCATTGTGATCCCAAGCAGAAAGTAACGGTGGCAAACCAGCACCTCTCTCCTCTCATCCCCCAAACCAGTGTTTAAGACTGTACCTGCACATTTAAAGTCCCATCCGGTCATTGCACATACATTTAGAGATAGTAGCATACTCTCTATCTGTATGTAGTGAAAATCATATGAAAGCCTCTAAGGTACCAAGGACAGAAAAGAGACAGAGGCCCATGACTGAGTCCCCTGCTTCATTCACAAGCGTCTTCACCTTGTCTCTCCGTATCCTTTCTTACTGCCATTGGCAAGCTCCTTTGCAGTGGCACCTTTACAGAATCATAGAATCGTTTAGGTTGGAAAAGACCTTTAAGATCATCAAGTCCAACCGTTAAACTAACACTGCCACCCCACCATTATTCCTTAAACAAGCAGCAAAAGTTCTTTGCAATCCCTGCTGCACATGATGATGTGAAATAAATGCACACCTGTGACCCTGTTGATCCTTCTTTTGGAGGAATGGTGCCACTGGCTGCTTCATCATCTCCTGAGGAGCATTGCAGAGGTACCACAGATCACGCCAGAGTGTGTTGGTGATGCACAAACAGGTCCTGGCATTGCTCAGTGTCACCGGCTCTAGGTTCTCGCATTATTGCAATGGGGATCATGCATTAGAGACCTGGGATACCTCCATCAGAATAACTGATTTAATTTGAAAGGAGGTAGGATTCAAATGCACGTCCCCAGAGAGAGAGAATCACCTTGCCTGGATCTGCCATTGCAAGCTGAAAAAAACCAGTCAATATTATTAAAGCCTACCTTGCCAGGTCATTCAGGTCCAGCCGTCCATCTTTGTTTTTGTCAAAGATTTTCATCTAAAAATTGAGAAAATAGTGATAGAACAGATAGGCAATGGGAGAACACACAAACAAAAAAGCCAATATACATTTTGCTCTGTCCTGTGCCCTCACCTCTGCTTGCTCGCAGTGCTTGCCCAAACCCCAGGCAGCATGGCATCCTCTGCTAGCACCAAGGGCAAGGGTGGCACAAGATCATCACAAACCCCTTCTGCTTTCCAACAGCAACAACCCAAGCAATCCAATACCAGCACCGCTCCCTTCCCGCCTTACACAGGATAAAGACAGGTCTCCAGCAAATGCCTTAAGGAACTAAACACTGGCCTTGCCATGGCCCCTGAAAAAAAGGCCAAAAAAAAGAGGGGAACTTCTAAACATTTCTAGCCCATCTCCATCCTTATCTCTGCCTGTTGCTGTGGATACCGAGCAGCTGAGGTGCAAATGTCACCTTCCAATAGACACTCAAGTTGGGGTTTTACACCGCTAAAGCTGTAGCACTTTGCTGGGCTCAAAGCCTGCCATCAGAATCTAGCACTAAGACTGGGAGGGAGATTCAGGTCGCCAACGCCAAGAGGTTAATCTGTGTGAATACAAAAGCTAGCCTTGCCTTAATATTCTCTTTTCCTTAATATGATCTTTTTGATGAGTCACCACCAGACACTATTTATTTATTTATTGTATGTGGTACTGTGTTTCTCTGTGAGGCACAGGTAAGACTCTGTTACCGGGAAAGAGGGGGAGATGTTTTATACATTGCGAATCTGAGTAACTCATGGCTCGAAGTTCTAAAAAAAAAGTATTCCACATTGGGGGGGAGGGAAGATTAATATTTTACTAAGATGGGTTGCCATGCTTTGTCAGATATTCAGTAATGGAATATGCTTTAATCTTACCTTCACAAATCTTATTTGCTTATTTAATGGTTATAAGTAACCAGGTCACTACAAATCTTTGGTGTAATTAATTGCACACCCGCTGGAGAAAGCCCGTACCAGTCCCCATCTCAGGAGTCTCAGGGGGAGAGGATCATCCCCTGTGACACAGCCCGACCATGTGGGAGCTCTGGGGAAAGCCAGCAGCGGATCCTGAGCACTTCCCAGCAGTGAAACTGAGGCAGAGCCTGACATGTGCCCGAGGAGAGGTATTATTTGGAGAGCCACGGTTTCACAGGGAGCCCTTACAGAAAGAAGATGCCCATTTTGTCAGCAGTGCCTCCTCCCTGCCCCTTGCTGGAGGGCAGGTGTCTACACTGAGGATGGTGAGCTGCTGGTAACCCTTTATTGCACTGGGTCCTGCAACAGGACTTTATTCCATTAATTATTCTGCATGATCTACGCTATTGAGGTTTGGGTAGGATTTTTAAAGAGCACTTGGTATGGGCTCAGTTTTCCTGCCACTGAAACACAGTATAAAACTCCTATGAACTACTGAAGGCTCATATTGACATCTTTGGAAAAAACACATCCTGAGAGCCATGTGGGTACTCAGTGGCACAAGGAAAGCCACTTTCCCATTTCACTGGCCTCTGCCGAGTGCGTGCTCTGTACTGAGTCACTAAATGACAGAAGACAGACCTCTGAATCTTCCTTCGCCTTAGAGACGGAGAGCTGAACAAAGCTGCTGAGCCGTCCTGAGGACTTCTCATCAGTCCAAGTTGTCCCTCTCCAACTTATCCAACTTCTTCCATCCTGCCTTCTGCCCCGTCAGTTATCCCACTGCAATATGGGACTTTTCCCTGGTCTCTGCTGGGGCCACAACAGGGATGGGAGAGGGAGCTTCACTGGTGCCACCGAGAAGAGAAACATCCTTCCGACAGCCTCTCACTGCCACTGGAGAGAAAAACCTGGGCTTTTAGTCCCTGACTGATAAAGGGAGTTATTCCAATAGAAAATGGTTAATGTTCCTTCTAGAAATAAATCTTCCCAGATAATATTTTAGAAGCCTCTCTCTGAATGGGACATCAGCACCTAACCTGGTTTTGTTTGCTGTGAGAGGAGAGAGGGAGATGCCCTTACTGGCTCGCTTTTGCAGACCCTCCCGCTGCAGGTGGCTTTGCAGCACCCAGCTTACGCCATTACTCAAAAAAATACCCTGTAAAGGAAACTTATGGAGACAGCCCCTATTTAGCCAGCTAGAGAAAGTACCATGCCACAGTCCCTAGGCTCTGCAGTAACTGAAGTGCTTTTGAAAATGTCACTCTAAATTCCTCTGTGATGCCTCAGGAAAGCAAACACACAGAGCTTTTGGGAGAAGTTCGGCTCCGTGACCACGAGGTCCTGACCTCCGTACAGGCTCGCTGATAAACACCTATAAATGCTGACTGTGGTGGCAGCTTCTGGGACCAGGACAGACCTGGTGGCTCCCAATCCAAGACTCAGACTCAGTGCCCATTTTTCATTTCAGATAGGCCTGTCTGAGACAAGCCGTGAGTCTCTTTTTCAGTGAAACACCTTAATTATCATCTCCTTTTCCACAGAATATAAAAATAAGCACCCTAGCGTGGCTGTTCTTGTTTCGGGACTTTGAGTGTCCCGCCTGCCCTGCACCTGCTCGACTTTGTGGGTGCAGCATGTTTTCACGGTTTCAGAAGTCACAAATAGCCAGGAGGCTGAAGAGCTTTATGCACCCTTAATGAAACAGGCTAGATTAGAGATGAGGGTTTAGATGTGAAAGGCTTTCTCCTTCATTACCAATTTTCTGAGCCAGTGGTTTTCAAGTCTATCCATTGCTGAACCCTTTACAATAGTCCAGCAGTAGTGCAGACCCCATTGAAACACATTTAACTGCAGAGATGATACTTTCCTTAGTGGAACACCTAATGAAAAGCAACAGCTCTCACCTATTTGCTTCATTTGCACCCTACCTTTGAGCTTAACATTAAACTTTCAGTGGTTGACAATGCCTACTTACGGCTAACCAGCTCCCCTCTCTGACCTCCTTCACTCAGCTCTGCTTTTGCAATACCAAGAGAGAATCTTGGTGGCTTCAAATTATTTTGCCTTTTTCTGCAGCAAGCATGCCAAACAAAATTTTCAAACATATGCAATATTTTGCTTGCCCATACCAGTCAACAGAAAGAAAAGAAAAGCCTGTCTGGAAGAGCTAGGCTGAGCCAATTCTTGTCTAGTGACTTCCTCATGAAAGATGGAAAACATGTAGGGAAGATGGAATAGTGTTCACTGAATTAGTTCAGGTACCACAGCTAATAAGATAGACCTAATCCTATTATCTGGACAACTGGAGCTCAGACATACCCACTACATGGCAATCTTGGGCTGCGTTAGTCAGGAAAAGCCTGGGGAAATGTTTATTAATTAAACTTTCAAATGTCAAGCATTGATCTGGTCTGCTAACTGTGTACATAAGTACACAAAGAATGGCAGAGGGTACCTGCCCCATATGACAAAGCATACGTCATGGGAGAAGTAGATATTTGGAATTGTTATGAGATTGTTTCTAATTCAAACTTTTGCCTTTACATACCATCTTCATATGTTAAACTTGATGGATTTTCAGTTTACATTCTTGAAAGGTATATTTGTGCTGCCAGGCTGATAGGAAACATCTCAATGTGGTTAAGGATAAGGTCTGGCATGTTTAAATAGCACTCAATTTTACTAAAAGCTTTGTTGCATCCAGCAGTATGCTTTATAAAATGATGCATTTATTTCACTGTCAAGCTACCCCGTGTTTTAAAGTGTTTGCGCAAATTAATTCGCTGACATTTTAATGGCAGTGCACCAGGGAAGTCTTAGTTCTGTTTGTTTGAACGTAGTCCATGCCCTCTGAGCCAGACAGAACTGGGTTCTGTAAGAGCGGGGTTTGCAAAATAAGAGTTGCTACATCTCATTTTTTTAAGTGCAAAATCAAAACTGCCATTGGCTTTGAATTCAGCAAAGGAAATACCTCTGCTTTCCTGGTCTGGTTTTGTAAAGAAAGCCACTGAAACACCAGGATATGACAAATAGGTGCATGCTTTGAAGAGCAATATAAGATTATAAATCTGAATTATTTTCCATGACAGAGATAAGGAGAGAAGTAAACAACCAAAATAAAGAGTTCCATGATCAGTGCAGTCACTAAAGCCGGGTTTTCAACCTTCTCTGTTTCTAGTTCTCTGCATGTAACAAAGCGTTTTATCCCTCAGGTGGGGCACGGGAAGAGTCGGCTCTTGCCTGACCTCCTGCTCTCACAAATATACACACCAGAGACATCTATACCCAACAGCTGTAACTAAAATTGGACAGTGAGTACAAAAGTTATTGAGGGTGTATAAAGGGAGACACATGGCCAAGTTGCAGGACTGCCTTGGGCTTCTTTCCTTGGGGAAGGACAAGGGCTTTGCAGAGCGACAGGACGGCCCTGTGGCCGGTAAGTTACCCTCGGGACAAAAGCTCAGTGAGCTGCACGACCAGGTTGCCCATGTAATCTAGACAAGTTGTTTAGTGCAGGATTTCTAAGAGTGTTTTGGTTCCCAAAAGACCAAGGTGTTATCTGCTGGGGTTTTCAAAAGCCTGGAGGCTCCTGCGTCCTGTTGGTTTTGGTCTTCTGAAATGAAGTTTGAGCTTAAATGGGATTTTCTGCTTCCCCCGGCTTATGCTACAGTAAGTGTGGCACAAAACTGGAGGTGACAGCACTGCCAGGATTAAGTCTAGAAGGGACATGGGAGGCAGATTTCCCCCCATTGTGTTCATCAGCTGCGTGGGTCCTCTCTTTACCATACACAGCAAAGCAATGAGAGGAACCGCACCCACCCAAAGCCAGGAGGAAGCTCTCTGGAGATGGCGGGGCTCTCATAGTGGTGGCTGGGGTTCGGAGACATGATGGTTGCAGTGTGACTGGAGATGCAGTCTCCTGGGTGTCATGGAATCCTTACAGAGCTGCCTGGTAGGGAAGCCAGCATGGACCACTACCAGGAGAAGGGATGTACAAAGACTGCTCCTTTAGGCAACCAGTCTTTTAGGCTATACTCCACTCTTATCATATTTCTAGGGCTTTAGGAAGTTTGCTTAGTGTGTTAACAAACATAAAAAACTCTGTTTAGGCTTTTCTCTGTCCAACAAAGATTTGTCTTTCCATCATGACACCATTTCTTTGCTGTTCATAAGAGACTTCATTAACACAAATAAGCTACCTTGGCCAGTGAGGTGCTAAGGGGCTAAATCACCTGGATTTTCTGTGTTTTGACTTTCATTTCCCTACATAAGTACGCTGGCACTGGCACTGAGCACAGAGAGACAGACAGGCTTTCACAGCCAAAGAAGTGACTACGCTGAGCCTCTAGTATGGTCCTTGCAGAGGCGACAGGGGGGAGCCACAAAAGCATCAGAAATCCCCCCAGTGTAGAATAAAGGTAGTCCAGAATGCATGCTCATGGACAAAAACCATCTTCAGGGAGAAGTCAACCTGTTCCCCTTTGCACTGGGAAGATGAGGAGCCCTCAGCTAGTCAGCTGCAGGCTCGCGTGCTCGGGGTACGTGGCTCAGCCCCCAGGAGAACCTTTGCAGAAAAGCACAGCAAAACCCTGGCATCATTACAGCTGGGACGATTTCTGTCTTGACTTCTCTGGGGCTAAGATTTCATCCTCAGCCATCTCCATCTACTAACTTCGAAATGCTGTAGCTCATGACCAACGATTACTGAATTATTAGTCCCTGCACTTACATTATTGCCTTTCTGGAATTTTAGCTTGTGGTGGGCAGAGATGGTATGCCTTGGGGGGGCTTATCCTTTACATTTTGTTAAAATATAATAATGCTCAAACTAAAAGACATTTTTATGCTCAGTCTGACATTATCAACATAAGGCAATACAAAAAGTGAACATCAGTGTTGCATGGGTGACAGTTTCAGCAGAATATATACCTTAATTTGCTGAAGTTTACCTCAGCAATGAGCTTTCCCTGCATGTGGCTTGCAGGCATTGGGATTACAAACTAGAAGTAGCGTGCTATCTGGGAAGCTATGACCTGTCAGTGTTTCTATGAACAAGGTAATCATAGAATCATAGAGTGTTTTGGGTTGGAAGGGACCCCTAGAGGTCATCAAGTCCAACCCGCCTGCGATAAGCAGGGGCGCCACTAACTAACACCACTATGTAATAACATATGTCAAGATGGAAAAGCCTGTGAGAAGAAAAAAGGATGAATACTTCATTTCATCTGAAACTATGTCTTAAATCTGCTTCATATTCATTTACAGTATTTTGCTTAAGTACACAGTCATGTGCGCGCACGGGTATGGAAGCTGTCACTCACGGCAAAACGCTGTCAAATGCCTGCGTGAGCTGGGTGTTCATGGGCTGAAACTTGCCCAGGCCCCAGAAGCCTGGTGAACAACAGCTTGACTCTGGGGACTGAGGGGAGGTGGGGAGGGACTGGGGAAGGTTGTTAGTACTGCTGTCATACCCCCCAGCCTCCTCCTCTTCATGAAGCAGTAAGGGGGCAAGCTTTCATTTCTCCAGCTTGCATTACTTCAGGAAGGCAGAATATTCTCACCATGCTCTTAAAAACCTCCATTTTCAGCTATTCCCACCCTGTCTCCCACAGCACACATTGCAGGACCCCTGGGCATCTTCTCCTGTCCCAGAGAGGCTCAGAGCAATACAGAGCTTTGCCTCTGCCTCTGAGCACCAACAGCTCTTGATCTGTGCCCACGGGAAGACGACAAACCCACAGACTGTTTTCAAAGGGTTCAGAACTGCACATGACTACATATCTTCTGTGCAAGTGGGTGCATGTAAATAAATATTAAAACACACTTAGTGACTATTAATACAAAATACATATGCATAGGCATGAACACTAACAAGAACTCTGCCTGCAAAGGGGCTTCCTCAGCACAGGGTTGCTGCTTTAATTCCCTCATGAAGAGTCTTGAGAATTCAAATGTTCTTTTGTGACTTTCCCCAGTGGCTTTAGTGCTCTTTAAGATTTGATTTAGCAGACCCATGTGGCTTGTGCAATGCCAACGCATTCACTATCTGTTTTCTTTCCATGGGTTCATCACTTGTTCATCAAATCCCTGATCTATGTCAGTGTTCTCTGAAGAGAGGATGTCAAGGTCACAAGAAAACAGAATAGCCTCTTAAGAAATGGCTTCTAAGCAACCTGATAAAGTGATGTTCCCTTCTGGAGACAACCAATCTCTTCCAAAAGAAATACATTCTCCCTCTTCCCAGATTTTATTTTAAATGTGCTGTAAGGTCATTCATAGCAGCGTAAGTGGCAAGTGTTTAGCATGGTTGGTATGGTATCTGCACACCCCCCTCACAAGCTAAAGCTGCAAATACCCAGCACAGAATCATAAACTGCCTTTTTTCTCATGCCTGAGCTAGCTTCTTTAAAAGGATAGTTTCTATCTTTACCACTTTATCCGTCTCTCCAGAAGGCTCTAGGATCCACTCAGTATATCAGTAGCTGCTTTAGGTATGTGCAGCCGGCTGTGGATGTACAGAGAAGAGTGTACAGAGTAAAGTCCTATGGAGACAGATGGGTTTACAGTTCCTTGGGACGCAGCTTATTCCAACTGAATGTTATTACAGTGGCACTTGAAAGCCCTGAGTGGAGAGATGGGCCACCCTGAGAGACCCTGTAGCTGTGTGCAGCAGAAACAGGCCCTTGTCCCAAAGACCTTGCACTCTAAACGGAGAAAAGGGTGGGAGCAAAGTAACAGGGGAGAGAAATGCACAAATTTCCACGCTGCAGTAAAGGGATTGGTGCTGCTGGTTGCTAATGATACAACAGAAAACCTGTGAAAGCCTCAGGGCTGTAATGTAAGGGCCACTGTCCCCCTGTTTTCCCAGAGAGTGGTGGTGGTGGCAGAGTCCCATCGGGACTCTGCACTTCGGCAGCTCCCCGCTCCACGTGGAAAGCAGAGAGGGAAAGCAAAGAGCTCTCACTGCCCTGGGCCTTGACATCATACCTTTGCTTTTGGCTCCTCGAGTCACTTCTCCCATTTTAATCCAGCACTGCAAAGGTGAGACTGAATCTTTCTTCCCTCCTTGTAATTCACCCTCCTGCTTCAAATAAGTTCCCACGCAATAACTCCATGAAGCTACTATAGAGATGCTGTGCATGTGGATACTTTGCCATGACGTACAGAATTCATATCCTCTATTTTACTACAGGGTATCACGGGGTAAGATTGCGCATGTTGTAATTTCACACCCTGCCTTAGCTCTTGGGATCAGGTGTGTCTGTAAACATCCTTGGTCTTCAGTTTATAGCACAGAATCGTGAGGAAAAAAAAAAAGTCATCTGCCATGTCCTCATTTTCTAATAACCCTTAACATCCCTGATTCTTTTGGCATTATGGCTTTGCAAACTTTTGTCCTCACCAGCCAGATTTGCATTTACCAGGGTAGATTTCCCCAGGTATACAAAGCATCCCTTTTCCCAGATCAAATCTTATCCTGTAGCGTAGAGCCTCTCCAAAGATAAAAAAATCAATCTAGAAAAAAACATGGGAATAGAAAGCAGACCTCCTGGCTGTCAGCCCTGGGCTGCACTGATATCTAGCTGCATTGGGGAAGCAGAAATCACAGATCTTTCTTGGGAAATTATTGGAATGGGAGAGAAGTTGGAGGAAATGAACCACCCAGTGTCTACAAGCTTCAGATCGCCTATTCCCCAGCACCTCATCAGAGATCAGCCACAGGGGACGGAAACCTTAATGGAGCAGCATAAAAGCTCTTTGCTACATGCAAGCACTACCAGGAAGGTTTTTGTTCTAGCTGTAGTTTATGGGGTTTTATTGTTTTCAAGCTCTGCCAGCTGGAAAAAATTTCTGCAGCTTGCATTCCTCTCCCTTCACTGTCCTATAAATATGAAAAAGAAATCTACACTCTTCTGTAATGGTACAGTTTTTCACTTTGCTCTAATGGGTCATGTTTCTAGGCAGAGATGCACCATGCATACATAACATGGTCTTGCAAAATATATGGGCAGCTCCTTGTTTGCTCACATACCAAGCTGTTCTTTAGGTGCAAACACAGATTTTGCAACAAGAACCAAGGCAGTCCCGTCTGAAAATCATTTAGAAAATTGCAATGGTAGACCTCTGCTGGAGGAACTCGAATGATACCCTTGAGAATGGCATCAAAATTAGGGTTTTTCTTCTTTTCTTGTTTTTAGATGGTTAGATATAATAAGTTGCTCTGAAATCCAGGTGACTGATGCTAAACTTACACAAATATTATGTGGCTGATTGCAGGATAACAGCTATATTGTGATAAGGAAGGGGAAGAGCTGAAGCTTTCAACCTCCCAGTCTTTCAGGGAAGCAGCAGGGATTCAGCAAGGCTTGCTGGGCTTTGAAGAGCAGAAGAATCGGATACCTGTGTGTCTTGGGAGCAAAAGGATTTGTTAGGAGGGAAGGAGGGAAGGAGCTGGAGATCTGGCTGAGGCTGAACATACCCTAACGAAGGATGCACCTCAATTACTCTTTTAAAATGGATTTAAGGCTCAGTTTGCTTTGGCATAAAGTTGAGCTATTTTCTCGTAATAAACAGTTCAACTCAGAGCAGAAATATACGAAATGCTGTTCACAGTTGATATCCAGTGCAGTGCAAAGAAACAGCAGCATCATATGCTGACTTCCCACCAGGATCTCTTGGAGAAAATATACCTTTTAAGAGGGCATTTATGGCCCTAGAGACATTGACCCTGAAGGAGATTTTCAGGCAGCACTATAGTCTAAACAATATTAACACTATCTTTTCTTACCATGGTATCAGTATATTCTTCCAGCTTTACTTCAGCAACTGTCTTGTTATGCTGCAAAAAGAGATCTCGCAGGAAATCCTGTAGTAAGGAAAGAGACAAAGATTACTCTTTAAATTCAGGACATAACAGTAAGAGATTTGATCAAAACTCACCAGGGCTACATGAATGTAATTTCACATTCCTGTTTAGTACTAGTGTCTTTCATTTCACATAAAGTCCACATATTCTTAGTTGAAACATATTTTTTCAAACAAATTAGAAAATAACCAAATTTTCCCAGAGCAGGCATACTGGAATAAGTCATAATTAACCCACAGAATAAGCAAAAGATAACATAAATCCTGCAATATTTGCTAACTGATCTCAAATCAAAATATTGCCATTCAGCAGAACACTTAAGCATCTGCTCATGTCTCTGGTGGGGCTTGGGCTGGAGCCACATGCCGAGAGGGCAGCGCAGGGTCTGCAGCCCAGGGAGAGACTTCTGTTCCTGGCTGGTTTCTGAACAGGCTTCTGCCTCAATAGCCTGAGCTTTAAAAAGAAGTCGGTGCTCAGAAAATCTGCAGGCTTGGGAAGAGGTTATGAAGAAATCCCATTAATAAAACACAACAGCTTTGGCTTTGTTTTAGCTGGGAGAGGCACATGTGCAAAGCCAAGCTGATTGGACTCGATCATCTGAAAGCTCTTTTCCACCTAAATGATTCTATGATCCTGTTCCTGCTGGCAGGGCCGTTCAGTTCTGCCAGAAGGTTGGAGGGTCCCCAGTCCTTAAAGTTGCTGTGAACAACTTAGAAATGCCATTTGTCAACCACATAAAAAGGCAACAAAGTCTTAAAGCCAATGGAAAGTCTCCCATTGACATCAGAGAGCTGTAGATCAAGCCCAAACAGACTGGTGAGAATAACTTACTTTGAGCTCGCCAGCTGAAATAAATCCACTGCTATCAGCATCGTAACTGCGCCAGATCTGAATGGAGATAGATTGACACGACCACATAAATATTGCAGTTAATCATCTGCTCGGGTGATAGATCATAAAGATTCAAATCAGGGCTTCCATAATGAGCAAGCTGTTGCATTATCCAATATTTAATTAATTGTAGACAAAGTAAAATAAACTTTCCACACAATAGCTTTTACTCGCATTTGGATGCTGTACATGTGACATGCTGCTGCCACATATTTAATGCAGACACACTGTCTATAAAAGGAAGAAAAGATTAAGAAACCGCTCCACATTTCTTACCTAATTTGTACATGCAGCTTCTCTTATTGCTCTGAGTAAAAGTCAAGGTCGTACACAACTGGCCATTGGTCTGCAGAAGTCCCCAGTTTGGGTGTGAAATAAAATTCACTGCAAGCAGTCTTGGAAAAATTGAAATTCTGTGCTGGGATACTTAGGGGCAGAGAGTGAAAGGAGATTGGGCACAGTTAAGGAAACCTTATGGGTTTGTGTTCCTCAGTTGTCCCAGCTTATGGAGATTTCCACCCCACACTTTGCCATGATAATGCGCCAGAGTAAAATGGTATAACCTTCTCTACCTGAACTGGTCAGAACGTGTTTTGCTTCCACAATAACCTCATATTTCTCATGCTATGTTCTATGGAGGGTGGAAGTGTACATATTGAAGAAGCTGTTGGTGTGCACAGGGAAGAGACAATGTGGAGGAGATACGGACCCGCATGAATTCCACGCTGTTGTCCAAGGGAGTTTCCCGTCGGAAAAGCAGCAGAAAGTTCTCATCATCCGGCAAGATCATATTTGCAAGCTGGAAAAAAAACAGCATTAAAGTAAAAAAAACAACAAACAAACTCATACCATGAAAGTAAAGATATGAAAAAACTTGGGTGGGTGCTGACCCAGTATGGGAAATATAAGCTGGGCATGTTGTTGCCTTGGAAATAAACCCCAAACCAAGAGATCTGGCTAATGCAGTGCTCCATGACTCACTTCCTCCCCACCCAGGGTCTATCTCCCATATCACCCAAGTCTCCTCTGGCGCTGGGGAGAGATACCTCTTGGATTTGCACATATCACCCAAGTCTCCTCTAGGTCCTAATTCTCCCTCCTTCTGTAAAAGAAATCTGGCGCTGGGGAGAGATACCTCTTGGATTTGCAAACGTCCATCTGTGGTGACATCGTAGGCAGACATGAATTGCTCCTTCATCCTCTGAACTTTTTCTTCTGTGATGGTGTTCTGCCATGGGGAAAACAACACATGCATGAAATCTCTCCTCACTCACAGATAACCACCAGGATCATTGCATCCTTGCAGTCGGGGGATAATGCTTCTAAAAGCCCACAAACACACCACCTTAGATGAATTTTTGGAAATTAGTGCTATGCATAGTTTTGTGGCAACTAAGCTTTCAACTGGAAGACCAGTGTTTGAAGACCCCAAAATATTTCAGTGACACCTGCTTCTTTAGCCAGCTGTTCCCACTATATCACTGGGATTTGGTTTTGCAGTGATTTCCATGCTACTCCTTTTCATCTTGTTCTGCTAGGAAGATGTCCTTATCCTTGAACTACATCCCTGTAGTTCATTAGATCATCATCCTTGAAAGGTGTCAGTGGAGCTAGGTTGTTGCTTATTATTGCCTGTCAGCTGGTTCAAGACCTGGCACCAAGCCCTGTCGGTGTTTCTGGGTTAACAGCACGGGATTTCAAGCATTTCACATTCCCTTTGCATCTGCCCAACACCATAATCAATTTATACATAGTGAGGAGTTTTCAGGACTTCTCGGGTGTTATGTTTTGACAGGCATTGCTGTGACAGGTGAA